GGCTAAAAACTTAGCATAGCAGAAAGAGACTAGTAGTTTTGGGTAGACAGTCTCTACTACATTAGTCATACCTTCACAACTCCTAGACATATTATATACTGTTCTGCCAGTTAACTTATCACTTGTAGGAGTTTTTTGCCAATAATTATGCTCATACCGCTAAATGCAGCATAGACCATATGGTCATCCTAGCGCTTCCTCTTTTCTCGTTCCTTGTCATACTTGATCTTGTACTCTTGTCCTCTTCATACTCCCTGCGCCGCCCGGTATTGCAACATTCCCTGTGCGCCGTAACACATGCCTAACTAGATATTAACAGAACTTTTTCAGTTTGCAAACTCACAATTTCCTGCTGTCCAAAGCGTACCTGCTGGCAGGAGCAGCTGGAGAAGAACTGCCAGACTGAAAGCCTGCCGTAGGATGAACTGGACCACCTGCTGTTGGCACAGTAACTATTGTGCGGATTATTATCGCTGGGTAGCATTATGCCACTAGGACAGTTTGTAAGCTTCTAATCTTAGAACTTTTAACACACCTGAGTGGTACTAGTGGGTCTGCTTGAAGAGACCCGAAGAGGACGGCAGGGGCAGAAACTCACAGGTTCGAATATTCGCTTTCTAAAGAGCCTAGACATGGCAATGATAGTCTGCCGGTATTAGATTCCGATAGGTTTAGCAGGCCGCTTTCCAGATCAACACTCTAACAGGCAAGATAGATGATACAATATCAACTAGGCTTGCCTTGTGGTTGCATGGTACTGCAAATGCCTCCTTGCACCTGTTGCTCATTCTCCGGTGACTGGCTGCGGAACAAAAAGTTCAAAGGATAATCCCATCAGAGGGTGGGGGACACCGCACCTCTCCCTCTTGTGCAAATCTCTCTGTGCGAGCTCCCACAGATCTCTGCCTCTTTTCGCAGTTTGCCTTGCCGGAAGTCTAGATTGTAGGGCTAATTCCCAGGCCTAGGACATCCCCATATTTACTACATATCACATGATATGTCAAACTTTAAAGATTCATGACACAGCTTCACAAAAATATAGGACAGTGGTACCATATCATTTTATTGTTCAAGGACACAAGTATCGGCAATGAAATATCATACCTACCAGAGCACCATCCCTCTGACTGTTACTACCTCGCTGAAAGGTTTTACTCATAACACCAGTCCCTCTTTGGCTGCCTGATAAGTGGAGCATCGACACAGCGATTCATGACAGACTTCATGACGGGTTGTCGTTTACGCCGAAACTGCAATTGATATGATTTCGCAATTGCCAAGCCATGATTTCAAAATAAGGTTGAGGTGGGCCAGCACCCCCAAAGGCGTCTACCTCTAGCCGAGGAGCCGCACTTACTCGAGGACGCCGGTCCAAGCAGCCACCCTCGCCCCGCGCTACCTGTGGAGAAAGAAATAACATTCCTCCCCCGATGCACACAAAATGTCATCATTGTTACCATCATCAGAGCAACTGTACTTAGGCCTAGACCTCTCCACCCAGCAACTAAAATGCCTAGCGATCACAGGTTCTTTGTCGGTGGTGCGCCAGGAGATAGTGACCTTCGACAGCGACCTCCCACACTACGGGACGAAGAAGGGTGTGCATATCGATTCCGGACTGAATGAGGTCACCGCTCCCGTGGCGATGTGGGTTGAGGCGCTGGATTTGGTGCTTAGTAGGATGAAGAAGGCTGGGTTCGAATTTGGGAGGGTGAGGGGGGTGAGCGGTGCTGGGCAGCAGCATGGGAGTGTGTTTTGGAGTAAGGAGGCGGAAGATGTGCTGGGTGGGTTGGACCCTGGGAAGGGGCTCGTGGAACAATTGGGGGGAGTGTTTACTTGGGAGAGGTCACCGAATTGGCAGGATCATAGTACACAGGCTCAATGCGATGCGTTTGAGAAGTGTGTGGGGGGTGAGGAGGTGTTGGCGGGGATTACGGGGTCAAAGGCCCATCACGTATTTACTCCCTTTCTTCCTTCCCTCCAGCATCCGGAGAAGCCGTCTGACCAGGTGTGTGTGGTGTGGTGTAGCGATTCACGGGTCCACAGATCTTGCGTTTTTATCAACGGTTTCCGGGGGTCTATGACAAGACGAGCCGGATATCGCTTGTTTCGAGTTTCTTTTGTAGTCTGTTTCTCGGGAGGATCGCTCCGATTGATATTAGTGATGTGTGCGGTATGAACCTCTGGGATATGAGGAATAATTCGTGGTCTCAGGAGCTACTTGATCTGTCTGCGCCGGGTTTGAGATCGAGGCTTGGGAGCGTGGAGACACAGCCAGGGAAGCATTTAGGTCCGGTTTCGGGGTACTTTGCTGAGCGATATGGATTCAGTAAACGTGAGCTCTTTTCTCGAGTGATATTTTATGATGACCCTGTGGTGACGAGGAAATGGAATGATAGAATGTGTGGTAACCGTTTACCGGCGATAATCCGTCTACGATACTCGCGCTGCCGCTGCGCCCATTGGATGCGATTATCTCCTTGGGAACCTCCACTACACTACTGATGGCGACACCAACCTATTTCCCAAGCCCAAGCTACCATCTCTTCAACCACCCCACCGACAAAGGCTTGTACATGTTTATGCTCTGTTACTGCAACGGGGCCCTTGCACGGGAGAGGGTTCGGGACGAGATCGCTTACACCTCCGCCCCTTCCTCCGACCCATGGAAAGAATTCAACGAAAAAGCCCTGTCAACCCCACCTCTGGGCAAACGCCTGAAAAACGACGACGCAAAACTTGGAATCTACTTCCCCATCCCTGAAATCGTCCCCAACGTCCACGCCGGAACCTGGCGCTACCGCATCCCCCCAACCGGCGATCTCAAGAAAGTCGAAAGCTTCGACCCGGGCACTGACGCTCGCGCGATCATAGAAAGCCAGGCGCTATCAATGCGTCTCCGTGCCAACCCCCTCCTGTCGACCTCGGCCCCGGCCCAGCCACGGAGGGTCTATCTGGTCGGCGGTGCCAGCAAGAACCCTGCTATAGCCGAGGTCCTCGGCCAGGTGCTGGGCGGCAAGGATGGCGTATATAGGCTCGACCAAGGCGGGAATGCGTGCGCTTTGGGCGCGGCGTATTACGCAGCATGGGCTGTTGGGGGGAGGAAAGGGGATGGGGGAGGGGAAAGTGGATTTGAGGACTTTTTGGCGCAGAGGTGGGAGGAAGGGGGACGGATTGTCAAGGTTGGGAAGGGGTATGAGGAGGGGGTTTGGGAGGAGTATGGGGATGTGTTGGGCGCTTTTGAGGAGATTGGGAGGAGGATTGGGAGGGAGGAGTAGTGTTGTGGTGGTGGCTCGGGGTGGTTTGTATATATATGGGGGGGGGGGTTCTCTTATTGTTCCTTTGTCAAGAAGTTTGATTGCGTGACCATGCTGGTATGGTGTCTCCCTGGGTTGTCAGGCTGCTGTACTCGTAGAGGACTAGTGGGCTTTGTTACTTGGGGGAAAAACGGTTCTATTCTTATTCTATTTTAGTAGTGCTGTACGTAGTTTAGCTTGCACCCTTGTTCTTACCATTCCGTGGTGCCCAATATCCCCTACCTTAGGCTAAATATTTTCCAGCAGCATCAATCTTGAACAGAAACCCGAGGGTGGTTGTAAGGTTCTACCGCGCGTACCATATCTGATACAGCGGAACATTGTATACACCCGTGGACAGAGAACGGGCTATGTACGTGATGAACTCCTCCGCTTTTCTTTGTCCCTTCTTAGCGTGACAGGGTGATAGGGAGTGGTTCTCTGTCCTCTCTTGCGGCCATCGCCTTCTCATCTTCCCATCCACCCGATGTGCTGCCCCTCATGGGTCTGGCTTACCCCGCTTCATAGGCTACGTGGTCGGGTAAGAAGGGCATTCAGTTTCAAAAAAACAATATTTTTGTGAATCGGATTAGCCTGGGTGGAATGCCTGAAGTGAGGCTTTTCAACTTTCCCGCCAGCGCGGCACAATCCCGTGTGCTCGATCATCACCAAGAAGAAGGGGCCGTGGCTGGGGGCAGCGCGGGGTTAGACTAAAGAGCCGTCCTTAAACTCATGTGGCTGGAAAAGGAAGGGGGAAAAAGGAAATCTTGGCGGCAACAGAAGCGAGGGTGACCTGGCAACGGCCCAGGTGCTGCACTATTCCTAAATGGGAAGAGTGTTTTAGGCGAGTTGTCGTCAGCCTGTACTCGAGTACAGTACATAGTTTACGGTGATAGTGGGTCGTTTTTTCGCTGCATTCGTTGGCGAAGCAAAAAGGGACGAGGCGAAGTCGTTGCTGTCGAACTATGCCATTGTGTTCGCTCAATGAAAAGGTGGTGATGGCGATTTCTTGGGTGGTGAAGGTTGACACTTCATCTGGCTGACTTTGTTGGCCGTGTTTCATAGCTCGATTTCGGGGTGGTTGGGCTCGCTGGCTGGCTGGTGTGGAAGCCGGGGCTGCTCCTTCCACAAACCTTCCCAATCCTTACCCGCACCCGGACCAACCCATAGTTCCATCTCGCCCCCTTCGCTCCCGCCTTCCCTCTCTTCTGGTGGTGGAAGAAAACATTCCATTCTCTGCTAACTCATCCATTTCTCTTACACTACCCCACCCTCTGCCCACCGCCACCACCACCACCTCCATCACCCCTTTTGACCATTCCATCAGGAACACCAATTCGCTGCTGCCAAAGGGAACGAGAACAAAATCACGATAGAGGGGGGTGGGTAGTGCATACTGTATGAGAAGCGAAGAGTGAAGGGGAGGAGAGAAGACAATTCCCCATCTTCTTTACCCGCAAAACCTCTTGCTCCAGACAAAATTCTAAACACGCCAATCCTCCAATCGCAATGGCGCCAGCGCCCCAATCAGCTTACGATGGCACTTGGGATTCAAACTCTCAGAAATATGTTCTTCCACCGCTCGTTGGTTTGCCCTTCTCGGAGATGAGGAAGAATGGTAATTTTCTCCCCCTATTTGCATACCGGTATCTGTTATTTTTGTCTAAACCCCCCTTGCCTTAGGAATGGGAGCTCGACACGTCGGGGACACGAGGTACTACCGACTTATCGTGGTTCATGGCATCTTCGCCGCGTTGGCCATCCTCATCATGATCCCCGCGGCAATCATTTGTGCGAGATTTCTTTATCACGGACGGAATCCGCGGGCAGCCATGTGGGGCCATATCGGTTTGAATACGGCTGCTTTACTGAGCTTGACCATCACCTTCGTTTCCGGCTATGTCGCAGTGGGTCAGAACGCCTGGGGATCGAATCCTCATCACCTGATTGGTGTTTCTCTCTATGGAGCTGCGATTTTTCAGGCATTGTTTGGGTTATTCATTCGGGCACGGAATCAGAAGAAAGTCATCCGGAAGAAGATTGCCTTTCACACCATGGTATGTTGGATTCTGTTTGTGCATCCTGCGTACCGACCTGGAGCTGACTTTGAAATAGCTCCATCATTGGCTTGGCCGCGGTATTTGGTTGTTGGGGCTCGCACAGATTCCTTTGGGACTATATCTTTACGGATCACCGCTTATCTTATTCATTCTCTATGCCGTCTGCGTCTTTATCTTTTTCCTTTCCTGGTTTGTCTGCGAATACATGAAAACCCGCGGGTACTTTTCTCTCGGCACAACTCATCCGACTCGGGAGACGCCGGATATGACCGAGGCTCCTATAGCCGTGGAAGACCATTCTTTTCAAGCTGGCAATTATTCGACTGAGGTGCCTCAACGTAGGTCCGGACGTGGGATGGTCGGTGTCTGGTCGAGTTTATTTTCTGGGCGACGGTCGAGCGCTAAGGAGGCGGCTCTTGGTGTAGGGGGTGGGGGATACGCTACGGATGTGACCAGAGCGACAAGTTTCGACACCAGTAGAGCCCCTAGTGCCCATAGTCCTGCCATTGGTGGTCTTCATGCTCCGCCTGGACGGCACAACCAGGTTCCGCCGGTTCCGCCGGTTCCAAGCTTGCCGACTAACTATGGAGGGGATCAAGGCAAGCAGGTCGTGTCGCCGGTGGGTTCCGGGGATATCCATAGGGATAATGGAGATAGGTATGCACAGGGGCCTGGTTCGGTAAGGGATACCGTGTTACGAGATAGCACTACGTTAGGGACAGGGGTTCACGGTGGGCCTTCGCATGTTGAAATGCCGTACGAGTCACCCGTTTCTCCACCATACACAGTTACCCCGGTCACTTCTGGGCCTGCAAATATGAGCAGCCCTCATACATCGGATATCAGCGGAAACTCTTCAGGTCACCTAAGGTCGTACCCAATGCCGCCTTTCCACTCCCCACATCGACAGCACGAAGAAATGCCACCTTCTCCCATCGCCGGTGGTGGATACATGGAAGCGGATAACGGGTTCGTACAAGGCCCTGCACGTCACGGAGAACCACCAATGGCTCCGCTACCGCTACCGCCGGACCCGCGCCGTGGACAACAGCAGCAACATCGCCGCGATAGATCTGCTGATAGTGTCCCACGTCTTCCCACGTCCCATTCAACGGAGTATCTGCCCACTGAGGAGCGGGCAGGAGAACCGTCCGTCGGCCGTCGGAACTCACGGAAGAAGGATGCTCAAGTCAGCGTTCAGGTCCGTGTGAACCCTGACGGTAAATCTGTCACGGTCCGCCGGATACCTGCGGAAGAGAGTGAGCGAGATCGTCGTGAGCGTGCACGCCTACGCGCTGAACGGGCAACTCAACGAGAGATGAGTCTTGATCGTGAACGTCAGCATCGCCGGAGCCACTCTGGTCGTAGATCATCCGAACGACATGAACGACCCACAACGTCTGGCTCCGGAGCACACGTACCCCCTGCCCCAGCATCTTCAGTAGGTGGGTACGGCCCCGAATCGTCGGTGGGCGGGTACGCTCCCTCGATAGGCGCCCAATCATCCACCATCGCGGGTGCTAGCGGCGGTCTTCTCGGAGGCGGGGCTCCACCATCGCGGGGCAGAGCCCGCGGGCCGGAACCACCGCGAGTGCCCCAACCACCACAAACTTCAACCCCCGTCCACCACCCAGTCAGCTCCTCCCCACTCCCATACGGCTTCGGCGGCGGTGTCTCTCCGAGTGCACGCGGGAGCGTAGTCAGCGCTTCGGGCACAGCAGAGAACAGTGAGCTGGAGCAGGAAGCGGCGAAGACGTATCGCAAGAAGAAGATACGCGAGGGAACGAGTAGTCTTGGAAACCCACTGAGTAGTCTGGGAGCTGGGTATGATGAGGATGGGGTCGAATGGACTTGATTGATTCGAGATGTGATTTTGTTTTCTTTGTTTCGGCATTTTTTTCATCTTGGATTCCCTTTTTCTTTTTTTGAGGCCAATTTGGGTAAAGTGGGTGAACAGTTGTATACCATTTTCCAAATTTTTATATTTTTTTCCCATGAGCGGACGGACTGACGGACGGGTAGCGCGATTGATGACCGGTGCAACGAACGAACCGAACAGATATATATACGCTAAGTTAAAAAAAAATCACTCTGGAGTTCATTTATTTTCCTTTTCTCTCCTTTCTCTCATTGACTATTTATGGCAGACTTGCTGGTAACGATTCCTCTTTTCGGGACGCGAGGATATTAATGACCTTTTTTTCCCCCTCCATTTCTCCATTTCTTGTTTTACTTAGTCGCTTAGCTTGTTTAATTGTAGCATTACGAAAGCATGAGGTTTGTGGGTGGCGGTTGTGGAAATATAAAATTGAAGCTTGAATTGGTGTTTGTTGTAATATGACTTTCAAATATGCATTGGTATTGTCATTGACTACGACAGAATATTTTGATATGGGTTCATTAAGCGATTGAGCTCATTACACGGTTGACTAGAGCAGAGATTACTTGGAAACTCTATTGTGGTACTAGTTTAGTTTCCTTGCTCATGTTTACTTTCTCTTTACTACTACATTATGTAGTATGGTTGTTGTTTATTTTTTATTTCCTCTTGCTTGAAGCACATGTCATGGGTGATTGTAGCGCACTCTCCTGTAGCATAAATAGGGCCCTATTGCCCCCCAGTAGAGAATCAATCGAGCAAGAAGTACAACTTCAAACAAGAATTACAACAGTGTTTGATGCCCAGAGTGCGAGTGCCGTCTGGTGAGCGGCTGGGGAGGGGTGAGGGAGGGAGTGACGTCATGGAAATGATTTTGCGGCGGGTTGTGTAGCAGTGTCATGGCGGGTTATGGAGATGCTACGTGCGAGTGAGGGGTGAATTGTGCAGTGTACAATAGTTGTATCCCTAGTAAAGCTTAAGCATGCCTATCACAGGTGTGATATTATACGGGCGTTTGCAGAGGGGAGAAGTGGTACTACTGTACAGTGTTGTACAGTGTATTATATGGGATTTTGCGATACGTGAGGTGGCGGTACTGTACTTGTACAGCATAGTACCACGCTGAGGATAGGCGAGTACTATTGCGCAAGCCAGGGGAGAGACAATGTCGTAATTGTACAGTACAGTACAGTACAGTACCATTTTGGCTCAAAAAGTCATGGGTATCACAGCACTACTAAACCACCACCACGACCATCATGTCTCTTCCAATCCCCCTCCCCCCATTATGGCCTTTCCACCATGAATTCCAAGAATAGTATTCTCCTAAAGGCCAGTATATTGAGGCTGCATCCCAACAGCATGGAACAAAAAGTATCTTGATTGAGCGGGAGAAAAGGCCGGGTGCTCAGCTACACTGGAGACAGAGTTCTCCACCAGACTTCAACCATCTTGAGAGTGTGCAGTGGGTATCCAAGCAGCAGACTAAAGTGCCGCAGGGCCCTCTTCAAACATACTTGGAAATGCATTGAGCTGTGCGATGGGGTATTGGATAGGCTGGAGAACCCACCGATCGGAATCTGGTTATGAACAGTTTGCTGAGCAGAATTTGGAAATGTGGAAATGTCTTGCAGACTTGGTATTTGTTACTGCACTACCCCCCCTCCTCATTCTTGTATCAGGGGAACATAGCATACCTTTTGGCATAGGTTGCCGGGAGTGGGTGGGGGGTGGTTGGTGTTGCTATACTTTGTGGGGGGTTTGGGGTCAGCCAGGTAGTGGAGCACCCTACCAGTACTGTACAGTACAGTGGGAGTGCTTTTACAGTTCGGTGTGGGACTCCTTGTTAGTCTACTCGTGGGTTGTAGTCGTTTCGGGGGTGTCTGGTGTGTCTTGAGATTTGCTTTGCGGAGGATTATGGCCTACGCAATTGTGTGAGTGAACTTTTGTCGTTCCTGGACTGGGCTGATATAGTCAGTAGTTACAGGGCCCTCCTCGCGTTGTTTTTCCGACGTGATGCCGGTAGGGTGGGTAGTCTTGTGAAGGTGGTCGGGGCGGTGTTGTGTTGGTGTGCACGGTACTAGCAGCGGGGGGTTGTTGGATCCTTTGACTCTGGTGTAGATTAGTGTAGTGTACAGTACTGTACAGTCCGGTTCGCCGTACGTGGCGTCCTGTGCTGTACTGTATGACACCTAAATCACTTGTACTGCGCCGAACTTTATTTGTACTGTTACCGCACGCTTGACCGCTTGGCCAACCCGCCAAGTGGGGAACACACGAATCATTACCATCTCATATACTCTGGAAGGAAAGACATGAAATCGCTGCTTGCGGCCCCGCAGGCCGTGGAGCGGGAATGACAAGGGTTTTGGGTGAGCGCTTGTCCCTATATAGCATTTTGGAAGTCTACTTCCTGCACAAAGGCAAGTTGGTCAGTGCGGGGGGGGGGAGTTTGCATCATCACAAATCATAAACTCCTGGCTTATCGCGCTACAGCGCTACGGCTGTGCGATAGGAAATTTTGTATTCCTCCTTCATTATCGGTACAATGCGACTATCAAGACAATTATATACCAACAATTCAAGAATTACTCAACGAGGAGATATAACCCCCCTTTCCCCAACATCCTTTTCCTTGAAGAAGCACCCCTTGGGAAATTTCTCGATCCCTTCAAGTAAAGCAGAGCAAAGCAGAGCAGATCCCACCCACCACGACTGGGTGTAAAAAAAAGCCAATGGCAAGAGGTAAAACACTCCTACACCCTCCTCCCCTCTCGTCCGTCCGACAATAAGGCTAATTAATCCCCATAGTAAAAACCCAAACCCGCCCAAACCCACCACCAGACTACCCCCTAGCGCCCCAAAGCCGTATTACTACCACCGGCAGCAAAAAAAAGTCCCCCACCGCTGTTACCAAAAAATCGGCGCAAAAGTCCAAAGTTAAGATTTCCAGGGGGTCTTTCAAGTGGCATGTGGAAGAGGTTACCAGGGAGGTCATGGCAGAATTGCAGGCCGGCAAAGTGGGGGAGGAGGGGGGTGATGGTGGGGTGGTGATGATGAAGTGGGAGGAGGAGGCGCTTGACTTGTTGAAGGGAGTTGTGGAGGGGATTTTGGAGAGTGGTGGTGGTGGTGGTGGGAGGGGAGGTGGAGGGGTGTAGGAGGATGGAGGAGAAAAAAGGGGGGTTGCTGGGCTGTGTATAGGTGAGGGATATAGTTTATTTGTTGATACTTGCTTTTATTCTTTCTTTGGGTTGTAAGGGGGGGGAGTCTGGGGGAGGGGGGTTGGTTCTATCTAAGAATTTGTTGGGTTGGACTTGGGAAGTTTGATTTGTCGAAGACTGATGACAGCTGTTATGACATGGTCAAGGCTTTAGCAGTTATGTTACCTTAGGAATTATATTGACAGGTTGGAGGAGGGGAATGAATTGACATTTGAAAAGAAAAAAAAAGTTGAGGTTCTAAATACATGGTATGCTCAAATACCAGAGCAGATCCATTGTAATAAAAGGAGTTTGTAGTGGACACAAGCATTATCGTGCAGTTTATAGTAGTTAAACTTGAGCATGATCTGATCAAGAAGATTCCATGCACAAATGCTTGAGAAAATTAGTAGACCCTGGTAGAGTGCCTAAGTACAGCAATGACTCAATTGTGATTGAGGACAGTTGAATATGCTTGAGTCCAGTTGATTTTAATCAGTCTTTTTTAAACCAGAGTTGCTTTTGTATGACTAAATGTGGTAGGAGGTTTGAGCGGCTTTGTTTACTTCGATTTCCAACTACCAATATTTTGACTAACACAGCGACTTTTACTAGACATGACTACACCAAGATCTGCAAGATGGAGTCATTGGCACTACCCCAATTACTTGGAGTGTCAGGTACTATTTCTCCCACTTTCCGAGATGGTGAAGGTGAGACCATTTTTATACCATGAATTTCGAAGGGAAGTGTGTGAAAGAATTAACAATAGAGAGTCTTGTCGAGAATATGTTATCAAGTGTCCATTGCAGATAGTTTTATATCAACAAATAATACCGCGTGGTTTCTCGGATGTATATATGGATGGAATTATCAAGCATGATCGCGCGTATGCAAGCACGATTGAGCATATTCGGGTGGTACCGAGCAGTACCCCTACTCGAGAAAATCAAGCAAATCTCGAAGATCCCGGTCGAGCACGATCTGGTAGTGTCCATCACTAAAAAAAAGGTTTGGCCGAGTTTTCTTCGTTGGGATGTTGCCTGCGGTCACTTCCCCCCCAAGTTCGATAAAGCGTAAAGTACCACTATTGTGTTTCCAATAGTCACCCCACTCCTACCCCCCCTTCTCCCACAAGGTACAAACTAATATTCCACCTTTTTGTTATGGAAAGATATCTTTGTTTAGCCCCCCATCTTTACCTGTCATGTTTGCTCTTGAGCAACTCCGTAGTGTACCGGTTCTTGGCACAGTTTCGTCAAGTCCTAGGAAACTGTTGAGGGCTGTCTATATCCCCAGTGGCATTTAGTGGGGTTTTTTTTTTCCTTCTTTCTATCTAAAAACTAGCGGGATTCGTGAGATCTTAGCAATTGAGAAAAGGCGTTGTCCTGTCGCGATGATGTATTTTGGATTAGGGTGGGTCTTTTCCGATGGAGTATCCATTCCGGCGATAATAGGAAGTCCGGAGTGTGCAATTTATTCCTTTCTTTTCCCCTCCCTAGTGGGTTTGCTGAAGTAGACGGAGATGAAAATAACAATTCTTTACTGAAGGTGTAAGAGCGATTCTAAAACGTTCATTTGGTCCACCGAGTACCGTACCAGATCTCACTATCAATCCCCGCGGCGGTCTACCCCCCCCCCCTCCCCCCGGTGGGGAGACTTGGGAGAAGGCCGAGCAGGGCGGGACCACAAATTGCTCTCCATCTGGCTTAAGTAGTGATAGACGCAAGCATACTGGAGCAGGTTATGGGGGGTGTACTTGAGCATGATTGGATTGAGAGGACCCTGTGCTTGAACTCTTGAACAAATTGGTAAGTCCTAGCTGAGCACTGGAGCATAGCCACCACTGGATTGTGATTGAGGAGAGTTGATTGTGCTTGAGTCTAGTTGATTGTGATTAGTTTTTGCCATCTAGATTTGCTTTTGTATAACAAAATTTGACAGAAGTTTTAAGTGGCTTTGTTTGATTTGATTTCCCACTACCGACACTTTAGCTAATCAAGTTACTCTTACCCAGTGCAGATTACCCCAAGAGCTGTGAGATGGAATCCTTGGTGCCATTCTATTTACTTGGAGTGTCAGATACTGCTCCTGCCACTTGCAGGGATGGTGAAAGTAAGGACATTTTT